ACCAAATCATAATAAATTATAAATGGTTAATACGGTACTATTCAATATTATCACGCTCTCAATTCAAGTTCTAATAATAACATCTTGAATGAAATAGTTTTTTTTGTTATAATTGTATTCTGTGTTACTACACTCGATTAGGGTAGGCCTACACACATGTTGACTTGAGTACTCGTTGTAATAAAATGAATGTGGATATTACACTTGGGATAAGAGTATTTATTTAAAGAGTGGTTAATCCTTTTTTTGTTGGAAAATATAATGGCTTTATCCACACTAACATTTTATTAAAAAAAACAAAACAGAAAAACGCTGGCTCACTGATCGGAAGACGGAAGGTCTGGGGTTTGATCCCAGTGTTAGCCAAGAAAGTTCCCAGTGATTTTCTAGCATGGTTTTCGCTGATCATCAGTAAGTGCAGGATGGAGAGCCAGACAAGGACAGTGTCCAGTCGGTTGGATTGCCTAAAACCAAACCCTTGACAGTTGGAATTTGCAACACGTGCAGTAGACCCTAGCGCCTTTGTCTGGGAAAAATGTCCCTCATACATGTAGCACACTGTATGGTGTATGCTTATCTTCAATAGCCCAGTTGGTGCAGAAAAGTAGGACTTTAAACTCCATTGCATTTGATTTTATTAAGGCCTATTTAGGGAAAATGTTTTTGCTCAGGAGTACTTAACGCATACCAAACCAGCAAAAACATTACGCATAATAAAAATTAAAAAATTGAATGAAATTTATTAAATATTAATCAAAGCCAACTTAAAAAAGGTCACATTTGTAGAAAAGAACGGAAATATTTGATAAGGGTTTTATGAAGCCTGATCCCCTATTGTAAAACGCACTGAGAGGTTTTTCGTACAGTTCATCCCTTTATTATCATATAAACATTCGACAACAATAGATAGATTAATTTTCTCTATCAACAATATTTACTGCTGATTAACAAAAACACGCAGATTTATTGTCGAGCTTTTTGTGGGAGGAAAAGATTTTTAATAAGTCCGACTCTTTGAAGATAAAAAGAGTAAAAAGTCAGGATGGTAAAAATCAGATATTTTCCCAGCAATAAAAACTGGGAAGTTCATCAAGGTTAATAACTTTCCCAGGTACATTTATATACCTGTATGCAGAGTGAAATTGTCTGATTTAAATATAAGGATTAATATCGAGTTGGACTGGACATCTTGATCTAGTGTGAATTTAAACTATTAAAAACAATCTAGGTCATTTCGGGACTAACATATGGTTCAGTTATATTTTAATAATTTGCTTGTGCGTAGAGGTTTTTAGCAGTGGGAGGAAACTGGAAACAGGAGAAACCAAAGAAAACCCACGAGGTTGGATTGGCGACCCTACTACTTGTCATGTTCAAGTGGTGGAATTGAAACCACAAAACTTGACTCAATGAGTTTCATTGATGAGGAGTAAATATTATTTCATAACATCAGTTTTGAGGAGATTATTGAAAAGAAAAAAAAAATACTTTGAGATAATTCAACTATAATTATCTTCTGTAAATTTTAACCATTAAATGTAATAGATTAATTACATGAGAAGAAATTGTTGTAGATTTAGATTTTATAATCAATAATCATATTTAGATCTAATAGTAAATTTTATATACAAGATAAGTAAAGATTTTAAATCATATACATGTAGATGTATGTATATACTCCATATATTACATGTATAGGATATATAGTTTTAAATTGTAGAGAATTGAGACGGACTATGTAAGATTTATAGTTTAAAAGAGGTAGTATGATTCCATATATACGATTTACAGTTTTAATTTATTTAGTTGATGAATAAACCAGATGTCACATCATAGGTCATTCAAGGTCAAACAATAACATGCAGTGAAATGATTCAAATACAATAGGACTAGGTGTATAATGAATATAATTATAACAGTAATATACAGTATATATATTCTATACTTATTATTCATTTCATTCTTACAATAGGATAGAAAATATTTAATATTTATTTTATTTCAAGAACCAACTTTCAATGAATTAAATGATTCAAAATATTGATGCCGAATAAGGTTGTAGAAATATTAAAATCTATAACAATGATATACTATACACATTATCAATTTGATTCTTACAATAGGAAAGAATACATTTAATATTTATTTAGACTAATTTGATTACAAGAACAAACTTTCAATGAATTAAATGAATCAAAATATTGATGTAGAATAAAAATGTAGAAATATTAAAATGTTTAAGATATTTTTTATCTTCTTCATTGTAACTATTTCAATGAATGATATTTTTACAAAATACACGTTTATCGATAAAATTAAAGATGGCAGATTGTTATTGATGCTAAATAAAAATGTTGAAGTATTAAATTTTAACTTCCATTCATTGAGTAACAATTTGAGTTAATAATAATATATTGTCACAAATGACATATATCGCTAAATTTAAAGATGCCAGAATTGTTAGTAATAAGCCACAGACTCCATGCAGCCGTAATCCCACTTTCTATAACTAATCAACAGCGTTTATAATTTATATAAGTATATTTTATGATAATTATATTTTAACAAAATCTGTACATATATCCCTAGATGTGACGAAGCAAGAATTGTTAGTAATCAGCCAGGGGCTCCATGCGTCGTAATCCCACTTTCTATATCTAATCAGCAGCGTTTATTACTTCAGTAAAAGTAAGCATATTTTACAAAATAAAATATTTTAATTCAAATATTGGAGGAAAAGTCAATTCTGAATTAAATATATTGTTTTTATTCTGATACAGATACATGTATTAATAAACTTGAACAAACAAATGACCATCAGTAGCTTTACATGTAATTCAGATATTGGAGGAAAAGTCAATTCTTAATTAAATATATTGTTTTTATTCTGATACAGATATAATAATAAACTGTAACTATAAACTTTAATTCACTGTATATATTTTGACACAACATGGAGTGTTGTTTTAATTCTGACCCAGATATAATTAAACTTTGACCCATCAACAAAGATAAGACATTTATAAATAATCTATTTTATCTACCATTAATGATAAAACATTCACAATATTTATATTCATTACACCATCATTATATTTAAATTTTATAATAATAAATAAAACTAAATTGTTTTAATGGTGTTTAGCAATTGAACTGGAATATACAGGTCATAATTCTATGGAATACAATTACTGCTTATAACTGGGGGACGTTTCGACTAGGCTATTGTATTCCATAGAATTGTGACCTGCATACTAAAACTAAGTTTAATTTCAAATGATTTTTGATAATGAAAGTTTTGGAACTAATACTGGGTTCCCACTGTCGTGCTATGCGTTACGATACGATTGTCCCTATTGAGTCCACGATCTGGTATGATAAGTCCGGATACGTTTCGATACGATCAACACAATGGCCATGACTGACCTCAATATATGATATGACCTGATAATATCACCACAATTACTCCACGATTAAAACCACGATTTCAATTGTAACGCGAATCGTGATAGTGGAAATCTAGCAGTAACCATTATTTGCATTTGTCGGACACTGACTGTCTTCATTAGCCCAGTTGGAGCAGAACCATAGGACGTAAACCCCATTTCATTTAAGAGATGGAATAATGATTGTGAAGTGAACATATGTTGTAGATGTATTTTAAATGTGATTCGAGGTCAATGAAACACGTATTTTGTACATGAGGTGGTTTTTACGCTCGAATAAAAGTAATTTGTTGAGGAAAGTGTGAAGATAATAGTATTATTGGTCCAACAGCTGGGGTGTATATATATACAGTTGCACACTAATCTTACAGAACATAACATGACCAGAGAAAACAGGTTACAACAACAACTCACTTAAAGCTAGAGTCATTTGGTCAAATATATAAATCTTGTTCTACTTAAAGCTGGAGTCATTTGGTCAAATATATTAAACTTGTTCAACTTAAAGCTGGAGTCATTTGGTCATACATACAGTTTTAAACTTGTTCTACTTAAAGCTATAGTCATTTGGTCATATATTTTAAACTTGTTCTACTTAAAGCTAGAGTCATTTGGTCATATATATTAAACTTGTTCTACATAAAGCTAGAGTCATTTGGTCAATTATACAGTATTAAACTTGTTCTACTTAAAGCTAGAGTCATTTGGTCATATATATTATTACATTAATTTTATACCACTGAAAACTGGAGTCATTTTGGTCAGATATATTACATAATTCTTGTTGTATTTAACTCTTGAGTCATTTGGTCAAATATATTATTACGTTAATTGTGTACCATTTAAAACTGGAGTTATTTAGGCACTTAAATTATACATGGAATTGTGTTTGAAGCTGAAGAAACAGCAGGGTGGTTGTCATGTTGTCTCTACTTGTAGTAGTCATTTATTATAGTATATAAATAATAAATGTTCCACTTAAAACTCTACTCACTGAGTTATGTATATTACACACGAATTATTACATTTTTATCTTGTTTTAACTGTATATGTGGAGGGATTTTTTTGTGATATATTTTACAGTAACAACCCAACAGAACTAACATCCTAATAAAAACCCTAGTTAATATATACGTCACAAAAACACGCCACATAAATGGGATCATTTTACATACATCACAAAAACCCTAGCTAATACACTGTACATCAGCCCTACATCACAAAAAAAGACCACATAAATGGGATCATTTTAATAATTTGAACATCTATCATTACATACATGTACATATACCATAAGTTGACAATTTCTCTGTTACATACACATTACATATATATCATACCCTGTACAGATATAATATACCCTTTCATATCAATGTCTGACTCTAGCAGGGGACAATATGAGTAAAGGGAGATAACTCCATTTAGCAATCTTCATCACACAATCCATGACCCTTGAGAATCTTATCTGATAATTAAATTTCAGCATTTAAATGTAGAATATTTCTAATTAAGTAAAAGCAATATTTTTTTATTTTATAAATTTTATCTTTTCAGCCATTGAAGCGATATCATGGAAGAACAAGCCAACAGACAAGTCCGTCGCAAAAGGCGGCACAGTTACTTTCCAATGCGAAGTTAACGACCGACAAGGTAAACCTGTGATATGGAATAAAGGATCAACATCGTTATCGTCAAACAGTGCCGTTACTCGGGAGTTCCAAGATCGCTACAGCATCAGCGGAGAGTTTAATCTGGTTATACAGAACGTCCAGGAAACGGACAATGATCTCTTCATGTGTAATGTCTTCGATCTGGGTTCCGCGCCGGCCAAACTTACAGTCTTACGTGAGTTACATTATTTTTTTTTCCTTCTGAAATCCACATAGTAATTATCTCTTGTGGGTGTTATACGCAAGGCAGGGTATGCTTATTCTTTCAAGAACACCTGATACCACTTCTGGTAGACTTAAAGAATAACTGGGTGTAATTCTACCTTTTTTTTAATTCCTTTAATTCTTATATACAGTAAAGAGAGAGAGAGAAATGGGGTTTAACATCCACTTGACACAAACTAGGTCATTTCAGGACTAACATATGGTTTAACTTTATTTCAATAATTCGCTTGCGCGTAGGGGTCTTTAGCAGTGGGAGGAAACCGGAAGACCCAGAGAAAACCGACGAGGTTGGACAGGAGAGATTTAGATGTAAAGAGGGCCAAAGAGGCCCTCTGTTATTCGACTTGTGACGCCCCTCCCAATCCCTGACCCTGACCTACATTGTACATGACTAGAGCAAGATGAAAGTTTGCTGTAAACACAATTGAGTAAAATCGAGGATGATGACGAATGTTTACGACCACAGTGCTTGTAAGGAAGACTTTTGACAGTGTCAAAAATATTATACACTTCGGTGGGATGCCCACTAGATCTTGAGGCCCCCTAGGTCTTGAAGTCCAAGGCTACAGCCTGCCAAACCTATAGCTAATTCAGGTACTAAAGAGATTCACCTGCCATAAACCTTTCAGATAATGCTAGTTTCTCACTGTCACAATCCGTGCTACGATTGAAATCGTGGTTTTTACTGTTAAGTAATCGTGGGGATCCTATCGGGTCTTATCATATATTGATGACGGAGCAATCGAAACGTATCCGAACCTATCAATATTCGTGGTTTTAATCGTGGAGTAATCATGGGGATCCTATCAGGCCTTATCATATATTGATGTCATTTGTAGCAATCATGTTGATCTTATCCGAACGTATGTCCATGTACCAGATCGTGGACTCAATAGGGAAAATCCTATCGTAACGCATCGCACAACAGTGGAAACCTAACATTAGGCAACACAAATAAAATAACTTGTTTCTCGGGCACCGCCCGCACGCAAAATTGGTTGCGCGTGCAGTCTATTTATTAGTCTTGATGAAAAAAAATAAATATGTAACGCCCGCCCGCACATCGACAAGCAAGTCGTAAAAAAAATATCCCGCATGTACCTACATCCGCCATACATGTATATCTATTCAAATGTATTAAAACTGATTCAGGTGAACATGCTGTCTTTTTTATCCGAACAATGGCGAAGTTTTGCAGATTTGCCTTTTTTTTATTGATATCGAAAGAACCTCCATTTTGTATCACGTGATATTAATTACCTCCCCTGATAAACTATAATTTGATTCGTGTTAAAAGTCATTGGCGACAATATTTCAATCATTCGATCGTAATCGGCTCATTATTGCCGGCTTCAGTCGGTCCTTGTTTGGAAAATCCTATTGATAAAATAATGAACCGTAGAACAGGTTAATTAATTATAGCTAAGAATACGATACGATGACGATAGTCGTCATAATGCATACCTTAGAATCTGGGTCATTATTAGCACATTTACGGTAGTTTCGATAATCCGGAAAATAATAATTGGATTACCGATTTGATGGTTTTACTGACCAGTTGTTAGTTAGATTTAAATAGTCATTCAATATAAACACCGGATAGAACACCGAATATCCTGAGAAACACACCGAATATCCCAAGAAACAGTATTTCCGGCAATCTCCAATACCGATGACACGGTGTGACATGCATTGGTTGGAATTCGGTAAATAATTATAAATAAACCGGCGATACTAGATTTAGTTTTAAATACTGTTCACCATGATTATTATTTTTGATACACCTGGTGAAAGAGGCTTAGTTTTTAAAAATATTGTTGTCTTTATGGAGGGCTATTACATAGTCGTATGGAATTTTATTTTAAACCAATTTCAATTATGTGAATTAAATATGGAAAATTATTTTCCTTTCAGTCAGTGTTCAGTCTCAGTGTTTTAGTAGACTTGATTTTGGGTTTATGTTTTAAGTATGTACAATAAAGTTGAATATAACGGAAAGCAAAAACGTAAACAAGTAATGACTTTCTCATTTAAAAAAAAAAAAAAAGAAAGACCGCCCTCCCGCCCCAACAATTTTCAGCAATAGCCAAATTTTATTTTGCACCATCAATGAGTAAAAAAAAAAAAGAAACCGCCCTCCCTCCCTACAGTTTCAGCTGTCAGTTGCCCGAGAAACAAGACATTTATTTTGTGTGGCCTTAGATATAACGAAAATACAAATATGAAAGCAAATGAGATCTCATCCAATGTTTTTTTTTATCTATTTTTCAGTGCCACCAAATCCTCCAGTCATCCAACGGAATGTAACCGGAAACCCGTACAGAGAAAAACAAGTAGTTGCTTTCACGTGTGAATCAAACGGGGGAAACCCCGACCCTATGATACTGTGGTATAAAAATGGGAAAGAGATAGTAGAAGCTACGAAAACTCCTTCCGTCACAATAGGTGGCGCTTCATCCAGTCGTATTATAGTTACGTTAGATTCCACAGACCATCAGGCGAATTACTCCTGTGTAGTTTATAACGAAGCCAATAAAAATAGTCCATTATCAACGTTTATATTATTACAAGTGCAATGTAAGTTAATGGCATATTTTATATTTTAGATAAAAATTAATTTAAGGCCTGGACTCATTGAAGATTATGTGAGTTTATTTAAGGCCAGGACACATCTAAGATATAAATTTATTTAAAGCCTGGACACATCGAAGATATAAATTTATTTAAGGCGTGCATGCATACAGTGTACACTAAAGATTATCTGGATTGATTTAAGTCCTGTACACATCAAAGATTATATAAATTAATTTAAGGTGTGCATACACTGATGATTATTTGTTGCCAACAGCCTGATTTTTCATTGGCGACAATTTGTTGGAAAAAACACATTTATTGTCCATTGCAAATTGCAATGATTTCTGAAAACAATATCCATTATTTATGGGAGGGGATGGGGAATGGTATCAAATATCTAAGTTGAATGGTTTTTAATATAAATGAAATGAAACAGGGTTTTCTGCCAAACTGGGCTAATGAAGATGGACGGGAAATGAATTTATATAAGCTCCAGCTTGTTTTCAGATCCCATAATTAAATTTTGTATCTTTAGATTATGTAAATATTGATTTAATAAATATTGTTAGAAAAATGAAGATGGATATACACATACAGTAACACACTATAGACTATTTATTGAATAACAATTACTGGTTTATTAACATGCAGCGTTTCAACGATATTACTCTTGTCTTTATCAAGTAAATGTTAACATATATATGTATAAAACTTCAGTATTTATATATGTATATACAATAAAAGGAAGCATACAGTGTGCCATGAGGGGAATTTTACCATTTGGTGTCTCTTTAAAAGTTTATGTTAGATTATGTAATACATATATCCCACGATCGCAGCTGATTGTATGTAATATACGTATATCCCACGATCACAGCTGATTGTAAGATAAACCATAGTTCAACTCATCTTCTCCTACAACAACATCATGTATTGTGTTAATTTATGCAGCTCTGAATTAAACGACCATGTTCTTTACAGTTGAATGAACTTAAAATCTTCTCGTGAGAAAGTTTTAACAATATTGTTTCTGGTTGAATAGATTTAAATTAATTTTGATAAACTCGGGTGTGAGAGAAATAGGGTTTAATATTCTTCAAGGTTAAATAGATTTAGAGAAATGGGGTCAACATGGACTAGGTCATTTTGGGAATAGCATATAGTGGAATTTAATTTCAACAGTAGGAGGAAACAAGATTAGGCAGGTGACACTTACACCTTGTCACATGCAAGTCTGGAATCAAAACCACGCCACATGACTCAATGACAATACTGGAATCGGAACCATGCTTCTTGACTCAATGACAATCCTGGAATCGGAACCATACCACTTTGACAGATGACCCTACTCCTTGTCACGTACAACTGGGGAATCAAAACCATGCCAGTTGACTCAATAAGAGACCTTATGATACAGCGCGCACATTGTAACCATTTCACCATAAAGCCCCCCCCTCAAATCGAAGAAGGAAAGGCCATTTAAACAGCACTGATTTTATGACAATGACAGAATAAATACTCACAAAAAATGTTCAATTTTCTTTGTATTACCAGAATCTGAAATAAATTAGTTGAATATTGATTTTAGAATATGTAATTATAAAGTTATAAAGTTAAATAAACATGTTTATATTTTTTTTCCCATGTTTTTCAGACCCCCCTTATCTGACGTTTGGTCCCTATAATCCTTATAACGTAGAACTTGGTGATAATACGAGGTTAGAATGTCGTGTAGATTCTAATCCTCAGGTTAATACGGTTACCTGGTTAAAAAATGGACAGCCTTATTTAAGTAAGTTATTTTTTATTTTATTGTTAAATGCCTTTTACATGATTCAAGTGGCTATTAATTTATTAGGACTCGGAAAAACAGAATATCAAATGGGTGTGGCCAGAAAGTTTACATTTTTTTTCGTTAGAAACATCTATTAAACATACATTATACAAGAGCTAATTCTGCCTATTTCAGGTCTTTCTTTAGGCCTGAAATGTTATCTAAATTATTAATTAGACATTAATTAACTTATCCAGACTATAATCATCTCTCGATATTTAGTAGATTTTGTGATGGATAATTAAATGTTAAAATGGATAATTGAGACTTTGTTTGTTATTGTACCTAGGTTAGTAATAACGATCGATGCTAGCCTAAATTTGAATCGGTAATATCTCGGTTCAGAGTGGAGCAATTTGACTGAAATTTTCAGCATATTCTGTTTTCATTATCTATTTTTTAACTATTATAGCGAGAAGTGCCAGCTCCCTAATCTTACCTGATGCCCCTTTAAATGTTCTTCTTCCTATCTTGCCTGAAAATAATTTTAAAAGTACTTGGTTTGTGATAAAGTATAACACATACTTATGGAAGAACAATTACTGATTTATTTAGGCGACGTTTCGAAGAGTCTCAACTTTTTCAAGCAACGTCGCCCAAATAAATCAGTAATTGTTCTTCCATAAGTATGTGTTATAGGTTATTGCTCTATCCAGTTACTAAATACCTCTAAAAGATCATACTTGGTTTGTGCTTATCAAAATGTTTTCAAGTTTTGAAATTTTGTAAGAAAACATCGTTTATAAGTCTTAAGTGACTTTTTATTTATCAACCCCCCGAAGAACTAAAACAGGGACATGGTTCCCGCGGTCCTTGAAAATCCTTGAATATCCTTAAATTTAAAATTTCATTTTCAAGGTCTTGAATATCCTTGAATTTCGCGGAAAAAGGAAAATATTCTTGAATTTCAGTTGAGATCCTTAATTTTGTTTCAAATGTCTTCAATTCCTTTTAAACATGAGATTATAACGATAGTTGGTAATGTTTTGGTTATTTTTAAGATGAAAAATTGTAACTTTAGGCTAAAAAATGTCCTTGAAAATCCTTGAATTTTACGTATATTTATCCTTGAATATCCTTGAAAAAATGTTTGACGAAGCTGCGGGAACCCTGAGGAACCATCATGCTCGCCATCCCTGCCATCTTGAAATTGTCATGTGAAATCAAAAATTGAAGTTCGTCAATCGTTGCAAGATTGTCCAAGGAACATGTTTTCAAAGTTTCATGTGGATCATCACACCAAGATGAGTAGAGTTCCTGATCCAATTGAATAATAATGGCCTCATTAATATACTATATTTAAATTGTTAAACCTTTCTAATTTCAGAACAAAATAAATTATTAACATTTAATCCGATTGTCAAGTCAGACAGTGGGAATTATACGTGTAGAGCAACAAATGGTATCGGACCTTCAAAAGAAGCTACAGCTTATCTTCAAGCAGTTTGTAAGTTCCCATTTTGATGATGTCTATGATATATATATATATATATATATAGGCCCATTGCCATTGCCCCAATCCTTCTGTCCCTCCGTTCATTATCCACAATTTCTTGTAAACACTCTACTCGACAAGCCAGGACATTTCAGGACTAATTATTTGAGTAATTTGCTTGTGCGTAGGGGTCTTTAGCAGTGGGAGGAAACAGACGGACCCGGAGAAAACCCACGAGGTTGGACAGGCAACCCTACTCCTTATTTGTCACATACAAGTGGGCAATCGAAACCACGCCAGTTGACTCAATGACGGACCTTATGATACAGCACGCACATGCTAACCATTCGGCCATCCAACCCCCCAACCCCTGCATAAGTACTAACATCTGGATGAAATGATGAAAATATAGATGAAAATATGGATATATTGGAAATTTAACGAAATTATTGAAAATGTTTTAATGTATTTTTCAGATGCCCCTGAAATAACGGTACCGGGTAGTAAAACGTATCGTGAGACCGAGAAGATTGAAATAGACTGTGTCATTGATAGTTATCCTCAGCCATTTCTGGTTCGATGGGAAAAAATTGACGTCAACAGGTCGAAAATATCTTACGGGCCCAAACTTACGATTAATAATTCTGTTAGAGAGGATGCTGGGAACTATACGTGTAAAGCGTGGAGTGAGCTTCGTGTTTCGGGACAGCGAACACAGAATGTGACGGGTCAAGGATACACGTACATTCATATTCAATGTAAGTTGTTTTTCTGTTTTGATTTTTGGGTTTTGAGGTCAAGACAGTCGGATTCAGAGTTGAAGTGCAGGAGGATTGTCCTACACACAAAACAATCCTGCGGACAAACTACATAGACATAGGAAGAAATAAACAACAAATATCAAATCAAGTGAATGGATCCACTGCACTGTACAGTTCTAGGCCTAATACAGGCTTCAATCAAAATATACAAGACCGGTCTTGACAGTGGTCGTCTTCTGAATGCCGATAGTCTGCCAGTTGAGAACAGGAAGAAATTTAACAATAATAAGGCTGATAATCCACATCTGGAGAGAGTTTTACCTCCTTTAAATCAAAGGGAAATTAAAAAGACCTTCAAAAAAAGTTTTGGATTTCTTAATTTAAAGCCAAATAAAATGAGTTTAACAATTTTAACTTGATGTTTCTGTTTTATGTTGTAGATGGCCCTGGAGAAGCTTTTATTTCACCCGTTAGTGATGTTGAAGTGGGGAAGCCTTTGGTTATCAAATGTTCAGCCAAACCAGATGGTAAGTTTCAGAAGTTCTTACTGAATGTTTATAGATGTCAGATCTGACAGGAATCTGACTCTCTCCAGGCCCTTTATGGACTGAATGTTGACGGATGTCGGGTCTGACCCCTGGGCCCATAATGAGTACCAGTATATGTTGACAGATGTCGGGTCTGACCTGGGCCCGTAATGTCTACCAGTATATGCTGACTAAGACTACAAAAAATAGGCGTTTTATGGGCTGGGAGAGGGTAGGGAGAGGGTAAGGAGAGGCTTGTGAGAGGGTAAGGAGAGGCTTTTGAGAGGGTAAGGAGAGGCTTGTGAGAGGGTAAGGAGAGGGTAGGGAGAGGGTAAGGAGAGGCTTGTGAGAGGGGAGGGAGAGCGGATTTACAGTCAAGGGTTGTTTTACATGTACCCAGAACCTCCGTTTATCATCCTACCCGAAGGACTAGATGAAGTTCATTGCCAGAGGAACATTTTTAGCCAACACTGAGATGTAACCTGGATAGCAAGCCAATGGCTTACTCATTGAGCCACCATAGCCAATGTGTCACTGAGCCACTATAGCCAATGTCTTCCTCACTAAGCCGCCGTTGCCATGGAGATAAATAAATATATGCGTTAAATTTCTATTATACAGGATATCCAGCGGCAACTTATAAATGGGAGAAAGATGGAGTAGTTTTACAGCAGACGACCTCCACCTATAGAATAACAACATCACAATTACAAGATAACGGACTTTATAAATGTACGCCTGTTAATCTTGTATCTCAAGGTCGTTCAAAACAGATCCAAGTCAATGTTAATCGTAAGTTACATTTTATCATTTCCAAATTTTTTCATCAGCAAATTTGGCTAGAAATAATCACGATATGTGTGGCGCAATATAGTCCGGTTGGTGCTGACGGGTCATTAAATCATATTTCATTCATTTATCACCCAATTTAGAACTTTCTAGGATTGTTTCAGATTTTAGATAGTCCAAATATGTGTGGCGCAATATAGTCCGGTTGGTGCTGACGGGTCATTAAATCATATTTCATTCATTTATCAGCCAATTTAGAACTTTCTAGGATTGTTTCAGATTTTAGATAGTCCAAATATGTCGTCTTATTTTTGCTGATTTGGTTGTTATTTTTCAGAAATTCCAACTTTTATATCAAAACCTGCCATTGAGATCACCCTTCCCATAACCCATCGTCAGATGCTGTCCATTACCTGTAAAGCCAAGGGCAGACCACCCCCAGTGATACACTGGTATAAAGATGATGGAAAACAACCTATCACAATCACACAACCTAATTTTTATGAAGTAGAAAATAAAGATGTTACCTTGGAAACATACAGTACTGAAGTAACCAACACACTGTATATACGAGGTTTGTCATTCTACCATACTTTCATTCTTTTTTAAACGGCACAAGCTTGGTTCCACCTTGATCTATGTCTTGGAGGAAGCTTGATTATCACTCCGGAATCTCCTGAATTGACAGAATTGCAATCAAGTGATGCTGAATTCAGTCCTGTCACATTTCTGTCAGTTCCGACAACTGAGGTGGTGTGAGTAGAATTGTGATGTAATTAAACATAGCCAATATGTTTCAGTTGCCATGGTTGGTTGAGATATTTTCTAATTCAGACAGCACATGCATTACAGTCCCAAATGCCCATTTTTAACCAACTGTCACTATTTTGGGGATTGGGAGAATTAAATTCCGGAACATTCAATTGAGTATTCCCTATCTCGGACAAAAATGGAAAATTTTTGAAACACCCTGGAGTTAAAACATGGGAAATGTGAAATTTAATGAAATGAATGAAAGATTAAATAACTTTAGCTTTTCAAACTCCGTCTTTCTGACTGTATGAGTATTGTGCTTGAAAACGACAAGAGAATTGTAATATAATGTATTCTTATTACTCAGTTGTCTGACTCCATATAAAGGCCTATTTTATAATAGAGTTACTTCCCATTACTTGGAATAAACATGGCTCCTTGAATACAAGCTTTCTCTTTCTTTGCCCAGCCCTAATCCTGAATCATCTAGCCTAAAAGATGAAACAAGAATCACTGTAAAAACGTATCTCCAATTAAAATACAAAAGTTATTTTCCATAAAACTCGGGGGTGGGGGGTTTGGGGGGATAGCCGAATGGTTAGCACGTGCACGATGTATCCTAAGGCCTGTCATTGAATCAACTGGCGTGGTTTCGAATCCCCGGTTGTACGTGACAAGGATTAGGGTCGCCTGTCCAACCTCGTGGGTTTTCTCCGAGTCCTCCGGTTTCCTCCCACTGCTTAAGACCCCTACGCGCAATTGAATTATTGAAATAAAATTAAACCATATGTTAGTCCCAAAATGACCTAGTTTGTGTCGAGTGGACATTAAACCCCATTTCTCTCTCCCATACTACTCTTGTGTTTAATTTAATGTATTTTGTGTGTTTTTTGCAGGTTCTGGTCGAACTGTACAAGATAATGAGAATACAGCCTTACGTATAGAAGATATGGGACAATATCACTGTTGGGTTAATTCTTCCTTTTATCGGGAACCAATCAAAGCAACACAAACTTTAAACTTACAATGTAAGTAGACAACTGTTTAAAAGGGGAATAACTCTTATTGACACTCATAACCTAGATCAGTGATTATCAGCCAGTGTATAGCTGTTTATTTAGTTTAAGTCATTCTATGTGTGCTGCTATTTTTTCATGTGTTTCAAAGTGTGCCTTTGGCAAAAAAAAAAGATTGAGAACCACTGGCCTAGATGGTCCTTTGCTAGACTTGTAGAAGTTAAATGAAATGACTGCTATGAGGTAAATATTACCTGGACAGCAGCGCTAGGACCTACTTTAATATCGAATTACAACTGTTAAGAGATTATTTTACATGCAACCCATGGTTACACAGGAGCTTGGTTTTTTATCCCATCCAACTGACACAACACTTTTTCAGATGTGGCCAGATTATCTTTGTCTTTGTAAGTCAGAGATATTAGAAGTTAGTACTTTACCCGTAAGTTACAGACATCGTCAACTACTGAATGTTGTAATCTAGAATATTTCTTCTTGTTTTTTCAGTTAAGCCAGTTGTTACAACCGATGAAGTTAGAATTGCCGTAAATTTCAGTCTTCCCATCCAGCTTCCTTGTACAGCACAGGCCTTCCCTGTCCCAAAATTCCAGTGGTATCGTAAAGGTGTTGAAATTGTGGGTGGCCCGGGAAGATTTTCTATCGGGGTAAATATACAAATATAAAAGTTTACTATTTTGTTGAGAATAATTCACCAAAATATCAACTCTATCTAGAACAACACCATAGTTTCCACAGAGCTTTTTCTAATTGTTGTCATGAACAGCTGATTTCATTCACACATAAACTGTCTTCAAAAGAACCCTTGGTAGTTATATAGTATTCGAGGAAGATTAAGCGGAAATGCCATTATTCAGGCAAAAATTCCCCCCTCCCACAGTGCATACATGACCATTGAAATGAACATTACCATATGATAAGCCCAGCTCATAATCCACTGTACGAACAGTCTATGGGGGAAATTTTAGTAAACCTGTGCGTGAGACTTATGCGTCACTTCATGTGTTTGGCACCGTAGAAGATCACAGACTGACCGTAGAGACCTTTGATATTGCACTTACAAAATTTTCACCCACCTTCTTGGGCTGGTCTGCGAGCTACCAAACCCTACGACCCGTGCGTGTCAAAACATGCACGGCAGATTGTGAGGTCGGCAGGTTGTGGGGTCGTCTGTAGTCTCAAAATAACAGCAGTATTGTGTCAACGAGAAATGGGTTAAACTCTCGTCTATTTTATTTATAATCTATTGTTTTATTATTGTAGACAACACAGATTGACGGAGTATCAAAGTATCGTAGTACCCTGACAATTAACAACGTTAAAACACAAGATCTGGGTTATTATAACTGTTTCGCTTCAAATAACCTGGGGAATGTATCACAAAACATCCACCTTTCCACAAAAAGTAAGTGTAATTAAAATGGAGTTGCTTCCCTTACACCTCTGGAAGACATCTCCAAACATCTCAAAATTCTTTATTGAATTATTTATCGTTAAAAACATTATTGGATTTGCAGCATAGTCATAGCAAAATTAACAGAATAAAAGGTCTTACTTGGAGGTGCGATCCGGTAGGCCTATTGACGGATGGGACAAAAAACGTGGGTCCTGTTTTTACCATTGGCAGCACTTTAATGATCAAGATGAAATGAAATGGGGTTTAGCATCCTGGGCCCTGTTTCTCGAACTCTGAACTTACGATAAAATCCAAATTTTAGTAGAGATGCTTCATTTTTGATTGTCTAAACACTAAATCAACCTAATATTATCCAATCAAATTACTAAAATTTGGATGTTATCTTAGTTAAAATTTCGTGAAACAGACCCCTGGTGAGACTGGTCTTCTGCACCGACTGGGCTTATGAAGAGCGACAGTAAGCTAAGAGGAAAATTTCGTCCGGACAGCGGCACAGCGGTTTAATTCCAATTGTCAAGGGTTCTTTTACGTACACGCAAATGTATACACAGGACCTCGGTCGGTTTAATGTCCCATCGAAACAACTAGACACTGTCTTTGCAAGGCCCTCTGCCCTACACCTCTGACAAGGGAAAACCATTCTAGGAAATCAAACCCTAGACTTCCTGGTTACTTTTAGGTAGTACATAAAAATGGTAGGCCTTTGCCGTTGTTATACGCCCACATGGACATGTGATCGTGTATTGCTCTCGCCCCCATACGTACGTATGTCCGTCGTCCACAATTTCTTGTGAACACTCTACAGACTACATTTATCATCTAATCTGATTGGTTTGAAATTGATACATGTTGTTTATATCAGTGAGATGAAGAAGCCTATTTAATTTTAATAATTTCCGTTAATTTCTTCTGGTCATTAATATTATCATAAATTTGTTTATTTTCAGCTGCACCTGAGTCCCCACTCAACCTTCACTCAACCCATCAGACGTGGGAGTCAGCCATCTTGGTATGGGACGAGGGTTTTGATGGGGGTTACCCCCAGTATTTTATTTTAAAAGTTTCCACTCTGGGAGGAGAAGAGAGGTTGGTGGAGGTCAATCCACCCTCAGCAACAACTTTTAATGTTACAAGTGAGCCATGTTTTTTTTTGGATTAATTTTCTGGGTTTTTTGTTAATTAATAAGTTTATTAAAGAAGAAATTTCAGTGTGTGACCCGAGCTGCAGACAGGAGATCAAGACAATTCTATACAAAAGACTAGGCATAGGTTTCTACCTAATGCTCACGACAAAATGGCTGAACTATATCTTCCAGTATAGCCGACGTCGTCTAAGATGTAAATTTGGACCAGGAAATCACCGTCTTGGTGTTACTGTTGTTCTTCTTGAGGATGGCGCTCTGCCAATTGATGTACGATCGACATGAAAACTTGGCGTACCGGTACTTGTTCTTTGGACAATTGCGCATTGATTGACAGACTTCTATTTTTGATGTGTCATCACAAATCCAAGATGGCTGCGATTGCGTCCTGCTCGTTTTTTGATCCATTGTACGATCATACTAAAGTTGTTGCATTTATTATTTGAAAGACCATGTCTGATAAAATGGAGTTACCTCCCCTGAAGTAGTGTACACTTTTGATATACACTTTAGTAGTTGGGGAGCAAAACAGAAGGTAAACCTACAACATTTTTACAAGCAACCCTACACCTTGTGATCTACCAGAAGGGATTCGAAACCACGCCACTTGACTCAATGACATACCTTATGATCCAAAACATGTGTTAAATCACTTGGTCACCAACCCTGCCCCCCCCCAGTGGGGTCCTTCTATCTGTTTTATTTAGCTGTTATTTTCTAACAAACGAACAAAATTTAAATAAATATAATATTTTTATTCTACAGATTTAAAGCCACAAACAACTTACAGTTTTGTAGTTTTTGGTCAAAATCAACTTGGTCGAGGTAATTCATCTCGACAGCTCATCGTAAAAACAGCAGGTGAATACTAAGCCTTTTTTATTTGGCATGCACGTATAAGAATTTTTGAAAATTAGAATTGAATTGGTTGGTGCAGAAAAGTAGGATGTCATAAACCCTTTGGTTTTCATTTCATTGAACCCCTTTTAATAATATTTTTTGTCTGTTTCTTCTCCGAGATTCTCTTATCTAACTGCTGAGCTGAGTAGGGGCAAAACTTTCCATTTTATCTGGCCGTGGGAACAAGGTTTGAAGAATCCTAAAGGGAGTGCATTTTCCAGTACAGAAGGTAGTGGGGCAAACATTATCCCACTGTTTTGTAAATGAATAAAAGAAGCTGTGGGGTAATACCGATGATGACAAGTAAAAATCACACATTTGAGACCACATGACATGGAGAGAGAGAGAGAGAGAGAGAGAGAGAGAGAGAGAGTGAGAGCAACAATTCGCGTAGGGGTCTTTAGCAGTGGGGGGAAACCGGAGGACCCAGAGAAAACCCACGAGGTTGGACAGGCGACTCTATTTCTTGTCATGTACAACCGGGGAATCGAAACCACGCCAGTTGACTCAATGACAGACCTTATGATACAGCGTGCACGTGCTAACCATTCGGCCAACCAATCCTCCCAGAAACTAACATAAGCAAAGAGCACAAACATTTCACTCCGAAATAGATACTGTGTTATTAAATCTATTTTTATTTCAGAATTAAGCATTCCATCCATAGGACCATCCGTCGAATTTAACGTCCAATCAGGAGAGATAACTCTAGAGAATAAAATAAAGGATAATTATTGTTTACGTGTGAGTGTGAAACGCAAGAATAGCGCTGGCAAGTGGGATATCGCGTATCAGTGTTTATATTTTACGGACCTCGTTGGAAATTTACAGGAATCTAACATAGAGGCACTCAATATTTCCGTCTGTTTGAAAGATCGTCCAGACGTCTGTGGGGAACCTGTCACCGCCACTTTAAGTAAGTTTTGTTTTATTTATTGCCGCACCTTTTACAATACACATTCACATGCAGTTCGTCAAAACATTTTACACACAGAGGATAGGGCCTGGTCAGAAAGAAGGGAGATAACTGCTGTAGGATTGTTAGACTTGATCGGCCCTCATCATTTTCACATGCTACTACACAGTAATATGGTTTGACATCTTATATTATTGCACCAGATGAAACAGACAGACGATATTTCAGTATATTTTATCAACAAGATGATGACATTAAAGCTATCAACAAGATCATAGATAATAATAAATAATACAGTCTCAGGGGCGGATCCAGGAATTTTTGCAGAAGGGGATTTGCCAGACTCCCGTTTGACAATTGACAATGCATGATGCCATCATCGTCTCTAAATTACGTGGGCATACATACACACTGAGCTTTTTAAAGAGAGAAATCCAACATCCCGTTTGACGTCAATTTAATAATAAATCAATACGATCACATTGTTATTCAATTTCATTGATGCTACGCATTAATTCTGATATCACACATGTCTATATCATTATCTCGTGCTTTGAATGCCGAATCCCATTCCACCATCTGATGATAAAGGATAAAGCATACAACCGCGACACTTTTCTCATAAAGTGTTGTTTTACAATTGTTTTTATGTAACTGAGCAGGGCGGGGTTTGGCCCCCCACCCCCCGGATCCACCCCTGAGTCTCTATTGATTCATCTGATATTTATTATCATAATCATGGAATCTCCATTGATCCATGAGATAATTAATATCACCATTTTATATCAGACATTATTACTAATATCCTGATTCATTATTTATACATGATATCAACTTAGTCTCGGATAATCAATTAATATTAACCTACTACGCCAATCTATTACTTATCACTTTCAGGTGATATTATACCTGTTTAATTCAGGTGATATTATACCTTTTTCATTCAGGTGATATTAAACTTTTTTGATTCAGGTGATATTATAACTTGTACTCAACCTTTAGGATTAGGGTCAAAATATAAGATGTGTTATTTTTCTGATTACATTTTTGTCTGGAAAGATAAGGGTGAAGTTGAGCTTCTTGGCTAATTTCTTCATGATTTTGGGGCTTTATTCTTTCGATCTCTTCATGATCTTTGGGGTTTACTCTTTCGATCTCATTGAATACTAAGTCCATTCAAAAAGTAACAATATCAGTTGTATATCTGTTGTATATAATCAAGTCTACTTACATTGTATACCCAGATTAATCAAGTCTATTTTAATACTCTGTTGTCCAGTAACTATACATACAGACTGTATATATACAGAGATTAATCAAGACTATTTTAATACTCTGTTGTCCAGTAGCTACTGTTATGTATACAGGCTTGTAAATTCTGTGTAGATTTAAAGATTTATATTGTTTACTTATCATCTTTTAATGTAGACTTTCGCTGAACAAATATTTTATTTACATGATCAAATAACAGGGCAATACGATACATATACCACACTTAATCATATCCAATCTCTTCTTCATATTAGAGTAGACAAAAATGCCACTGCCTAGGCCAAGTTTTCTTCTTTCGTATTTCATGCTTCACTATAGTATCTGTAAAAATAATTAACTTGTTGAAAGAAATGCCACTGACTGGGCCAAGTTTTCTTCTGTCATATTTCATACTTAACTATGGAATATGCAAAAAATATTTAACTTGTCGACGAGATGTTATAATTACTTTATATAGCGCCAAAAATTCAACTCGGCGAGCAGCTCTCGGGCGCTTTACATGTTAAACTCAACTCCTTCTTGCTGTGTTAATTAACGGTTTAATTTAACTCCTCACATACGGAAAGCAGGATTCGTTTAGTTTATTTTATGTAATAAACTAGATTAAACAGCAGAGTAGATTTATTGACTGCATAAAACAACATGGTATATGTTTTATAATACCCAGTTGTAACAGTAAGACATTTGGCTACATCAAAGAACTAAACATTAAAAGGACAATAACACTCTTGCTGGCTTGACAGCTCCAGAAAATAAAAAATAGCCTTATTCTAAGTACTAGATGTGTTAGTGTCTTTCCTGTTGTGTAAATTATCCATTAAATCCTATTTTACTTGTACAGAGGGTTCAAAAATATTTTTAAATCCAAGTCACATTTGAAAAGCTTTACGGCAGGCTTTTCAAATCATTTAGTTGAATTTTTCCAATTTTTTAAAATAGGTGTGTTAAGATGAAATTTATATCATCAATTAATTGGAATATTGTAAAATAGTACAATTTGTTGACCAGAATAAAGATTGGGACATATTATTCAGTTACAACAAGAGTGGTATTGAGCCTTTAAGTTGGTTTGGCCTTATAGATAACTTGAGATACATTTCATGTAATATTACAAATCTTAATAGCATGATTTAACAGTGTTAATATACATGTATACCATATAACAAACTAGTAGATATACATCTATATCTACTGGTTATATGTTTAGTTATACACAGCGTATAACTGTTATATCATAGTTATATACCACAGTAATAACTATTATATCATACTTATTATATATACAGGTAATTAGTTTATTATATGAACTAGTTGTTTATATTACCTGTGGATTACACCTGTCTATTCAAGCACCTTGTAACAGGTGTATATATCATTATTAATACAAATCGTGATTGGATAAAATATGGGGTATTATTAATTTTTCTATATCTTATATTACACACAGAAAAACATGATTAAAAGGTGTGTCCGTAATCAATAACACTGATTAATACAACTCTTAAAATAAAACACCTGTTACAGACAATAGATAAAAAAATACAAAATATTCATAGTTATATTTCTTCATTCGGATATACATCAAATCATAAGCTACATGATTGACCGAGAAAGTTCACCCAGATTTTCCGGCGTGGTTCCTCCTTGTCAGTGATGCAGGACCGAGGGCCTGACAAGGACAGCTGTCTAGTCATTCGGATGGGACAAAAAAACGAGATCCCATGTACACATTGGCGTGCACATAAAAGATCCCTTGACAGTTGGAGTTCGATATAAGAGTAGACCATAGTGCCGCTGTCCGGGCAAAACTTCCCTCATAGCATACTGTATGGCGTATGCCCGTCTTCATTAGCCCAGTATAGGAGCAGAACAGTAGGACATTAAACCCCATTTCATTTCATTTCATTTCATTACATGTAGCTGTCTGCTCTTTCTCTGGCATCTTCAGATATGTACCTTTAAGTAGACACTGTTAGTCCAGTTGGCAATAACTAGTGACAGTTGTCACGCTGGAGGCAGGGTATGCTCATTATTTTCTGAAACATCTGATACCACTTCTATTTAATAGTAGTTAACAAATTATCACTGTAGTGTAGGGCATGGCTTGATATTTCATTTCATGCTTTTGAGTGCTATTTGTAATGAAGCGACTCGATGAACAAGGCTGAACATACCCCGCAGGAGAATACTACCAGTGTAGACTGGAATAACTAGACGCCAAAGACTTCCATTCAATTTGGACTCTTCCCATATTTCACGGAACATAACTCATTAGAAATTACAATAAAAACAGAAACGATTGAATGTAAATTAAGTCAGTTTATATACATTAATTTCACATTATTAAATGGGTTGCAATCCATTTGTGTCAATTTCTAGGTCACAAGAAATAAAGATTTAGCGCCTTTAGAGGCATTAAGTAACTATAAACTATATTTATAGACGAACAATTACTAATTTATTTGGGCGATGTTTCGAGGAATACATTCTCTTAATGTCTAGAAGCAAGTTATAAAATCATTTTACATCGTCTATGACATGTTTCTTAGGTGTAAAATTATCAGAGGTTGATTCACCTTAATCTTTCAACTGTAACTTTTACTCAATTCGTCCCAAATTAATTTGTCATTAAAGGATGACACTTGGATAAAAAGTTACTCAAGCCTGTCGTAGAGTTAGCACCTTCTCCTCCAGGTAGAGCCCTAGTTGTCTCATAGAGCCCTATTAGTTGTCTCATTTAATCCCTTATAAATAATAGACCAAACATCTCACAGGTTATAAACTATTGTTTGTCATAGGTGCTAATTACAGCGTTTTAAATCTCATCGTAAAATAATGTGCTAAAAGGATTGTTACAAACTTTGAATCTTGTGAAAAAGTTTGTACTGTGTAGTGATTTGAGTGAAGAGACATTAAGTTTTAGAACCAATCAGATATTGGATTTTATAAATCAGGAAATTTTGAATAAAAACAGTGTAAAATAGTTTTTTCTAAAGAATCTATTATTTATATGGTATATAAATCGTGGAAACAGGAGTTTATAACAAAAAGTTAAAATTCAGTCTGAAAAGAGGAGTTATAAATATATTCCCACTGATTGAAGATTATAAAGTTAAAAGGGAATTGAAGTTTTGAATCAAAACAGTGATATCCTGTAAAAATATTTTTTTGAAGGAATCATTTATACAGTACATAAAGCGTTTTAACAGCCGTTAAAATTTTTTAAAAATCAAAAATTGAAAAGTGAAGTTCTAAATTTGTTCCCACCAATTGGAGTTTTAAAAACTAAAAGGTGTTAAAAGGAGTTGTAAAGATTTGAAACAATTAGAGTCCGGGGACACGCAGGTGTGAAAAGTTTATCTTAAAGGTGTTTTGTTTGTTTTGTGTGTATCATATACTGAGAATGTTTAAATACTCTAACTGTACTTGGTTCAAAATGGTCAAAAAATAAACAGAATTCTGTTTCGTTTGTCGGTAGTCATAGTACCATCTAGAGAGAGTTCTTTACATGTATATTTTTAAAAGTTGTGAATTCGTTCTATGAAAGAAATAGTGAGAATATTTTGAAGGATTTACTACTTGGTGTGAAGTTGGTGTAATCATTGTGTGAAATATAATCCTGGGAATAAACTGGGATTTTAGAAAAAAATATGAAAGACAGGTTTGCAGAAATAGTTTAATGTTGTGAAGTTTTGTGTGTAAGACATTGTCAAGTTCGCTGGTTAGTG